TGTGTTGTAATATTGTTTTTATTGGTACAGTAGGCTAACTTCAATATATCACTTATCTTGCCTGAAAAGACCATAAACATTACAGATTACATCTGAAGTAACAATTAATTCACATAGACATACAAGTCTGTCATCATTTACATATTCTCATGTTGTTCCAAACCTATACAAATGTATTTCTTCTTCTGAATTTGAACAATGTTGGTAACCAAACAGGTTCTGGTCTCTACTGACTTCCATAGTATATTTTCCATTCTATGGGAGTCAATGGGGACTATTTGGTTACCAACTTTCTTCAAAATATCTTCTTTCTTCTCGTACTGCTTTGAAACAACTTGAGAGTGAGTAATCTCTTTAACAGTTGATTATGGTGAATGCTGTAGGATGCAGATCTAAGAACTTATTTTCACCTTTCACACTTTTATAGATTCTGCATTTAAGCATCATGCTGGCTGTTTCTTTCTTGGAAGGTCGACTTCCACAACTGACCAATCCTTACGCTGTTGCGATGACGTCCTACGCCATGGCCAATGCCAACAAACTCAATAAAGACATCTTGATGAAACACTCCTCCCAACATGAAGGTCAGTCAAGTCAACAAGGCATCAAAAAGAGCTGCGCTTTGCAACAGTGCTCACTCCGACCCAAGTGTAAATAATGGAAGAATTACAGATGTTTTGTGGTTTAATGACAGCTGCTTGAGACAATCCTGTTTCTATTGCTGTGTTGTGTTTGAAACAGCCGGTCGGTCCTGGACTGTCTCTGGAAAGCATCATCACTCACTAGAGGCGACAGCTTATGCTGTGCTGGCGCTTGTGAAGGACAAAGACTTTGATAAAGCTGGAGAAGCAGTGCACTGGCTGAACAGACAACAGTCTCACTATGGAGGACCTGGCACCACACAGGTACACTAACACCTCATCATTTGACTGTGATGAACAGCAGAACAAGTGCAGGACTGACACTGCAGGACAGGATTTGAATGCTTTTCTGTCTTTTCTAGGCGACCATCATGGTGTCCCAGGCCGTGGCAGAGTATCGCACGCAGGTGAAGGACCGGCAAAACTTCAATCTGGACGTGGAGCTGTCCGTGGCAGGAAGAAGCAAAACTCTCAGATATACTATCAAAAGAGAGAATGCACATCTTACACGGTCAGACAGGGTGAGGAGTAACTAATCTACTAGATTCAAATTGTCTGTGTGTTATTTGTGTTTTTTTGTTGGATTATGGTAGTTTAATTGCTTGCCATCCATAATTTTTAATTGTCTACAATGTCAATAGTCTTGTGTTTGGTCAGTGAAATCGTCAGGTATCTCTGTTACATTGGATTATACTGATGACTCGAGTACGTCTGCATTCACTCAACAGGTGGACATAAACCAGGATTTCAATGTAACTGCTAAAGGAACTGGAACAGCCACTCTCTCAGTGAGTGTTCGTGAGCGTTTATACAGTCAACAGCAAGATTAAAGCTTGTGAACATCTAATCTGAGATGTGCTGCTGTTTTCAGGTTCTGACGCTGTACTACGCCAGACCTGTTGAGAAGAAATCTGACTGTACTTTTTTTGATCTGACTGTTAAAATGGAGAAAGACAATGAAGGTAAGAATACGTTCCTGCTCTTTCTGTGGCACTTTCCATACATTCAGAGCTAAAATAAAACCTCCAAAACACTTCATTATGTGCTGCTTTTTTATTTTAATTACTACCATGTTTTTTCTTTAGCAAAACAAGGAGACATTGCAAGTTACAAGCTCACTATGGATTTCTAGTATGTGAACAAAAATCCTAATAAGTTTATTATTATGTCAAGAAACCATTTTATTTGTAATTGATCAGTATGTGCTTATTTAAGCTGTTTTCACGCTTGTTTCTTTTTTTTTGGTTTGAGCCTGAGTTTGCTTTTCTCACATTGGCAGTGTTTGCATCATGAAC